ACTAATTAAAAATGCAGTCCGTTTGATCCTTGATAACTTCGGAATTGTTGGGTTTTCTCGTTTTCGGCCGTATGCCAGTGGATTCGTCTCACTTTTCTCTTCATTTTGATAGTATTTTGAGCCCAAAATATTTTATTTTGAAGGCTTTAAAACGCAGTTTTGATCCTAACGTACGGACCAACTGGCGGCCGACAGGAGAATGTATAGCGTGCTAAATATAACTTTACTTGTGCATGTAGGCGGAAACGCCGAAAGTTTTATTTGTAGGCGGGCACCGCATTTTAGTACTGTGTCTGGTTTCGAATAATAGACTCGGGATTACAAAATGCGAATGTAAACTTATATGAAACCATATGGTTTCATTTGAAATCTACAAGACAAATTTACTTGCTGTTGTATTAACAGACAAAGTTCACGTCGGCCCAAAGAGGTGCGTTTAATAAATTATAAAATACAGATTTTTTTGAATGTATATTGCAAGATTAAAGTGAATGAATATAAATATATATTTATATTAAATTGAATAGATGTGATGTTTTAAATTGAATGAAATTCAGGAGAATCAATATTGCTACAAATGGGCAGGCCGCAGGCATACAGTAAACATGCGATAAAACCCTGTCTAGACGGCCTGGCGCCAAGGATAATGATTGGATAATATTTTTAGAATATGATGCATTAAGCCATTATACATTTTTTGCATTCTTTATCCGAACCAGGAATCGCTAACAAATTCACCAGAGGTTTTTCCTTTTTCTTCGCGCGTTTTCTCGCATTTCGCGTTCGCCAAACCTAAAAAAACCTCTGGGCCAGGGTACCTGGAGACGAATTTGAAAACAAGAAAAAGTTGGATTAACTGTTAAGTCATAAACATTGTGTTTGTGGCAACTGCAATCTCTTGCGCGTCCGTCCAAGCTAAACACACCCAGTGCAACACAGAATACATCCTTCTAACAAGTCTGCTGGAGGTCTGTAACAAAACCATTACAAGCCTATATGAGGAATCCGTTTTTACATGTGAATATCAGTTGCTTCTGTAGTAAAACGTCACGCCAGGAGCTGATATAAGATGTTTCAGCAAGTCAATTGAATGATTAAGTTCACAAATCCGTGATGTAGAGTAGTAGTTGAATGATTGACAGCGATCGTGTACAGCGTGACACTTCATGGCACATTCTGCGACGTGATGGACGTGAAGTGAATGAAGACGAAAACCAACTAGCTTGTGATTGTCGATGCGAGTCGTGCGAATGGTGAGACATGCTAGAAATGAAGAAATGAATTATGATTGTTTACAGACAAAATTTGAGAATGTTGGTATTTAGTATTTTTGCACAAGTGAACAGAACAAATCCTACAAGTTGATTGGTCAAATTTGACGTATTAAGCTGTTATATTCACCTACAGGTGAATATAACAAAACCGAAATTTTCAAAATGGCGGCTAGCCATTTTGTGGACGTTATACTGATAAAGAAATAAGCGAAATTAAAATAAATTCAGTCCCAAAAACACAAAAATACTAAAACAATTATTCGCCTCAGGCTCTGTGATTATCGGGGAATATTCACCTCGACTTCGTCTCGGCGAATATTCCCCGATAATCACCTCGCCTTCGGCGAATAATTGTTAAATACATGAGCGGGCTCATGATTATACTGGATTTTGGTAACTTTGAAACTTTGGAAGTATTCTTTAGATGAAATAATGAAATTCACTGCTCTACAAATTACGAGCAAAACTTCCTTAAATAAAACATTACCTCTTTGAGGACATAAGGAAAATCTACAATACAAATCTGTGCCGTTCACGGTTCCAATCCACTTGGCGGAGCTCGAAATATTCTCTACTTTTCCATACGGGATTTCCAACTCATTTCTCCAGTAAGCCACTGCGGGAGCCCACGAAGTGTCCGCGAATTGCGCGGAGTTCCACGCGGGATAATACTGGTCGGTACATAACCAGCCTTTGCTGCCGGTTACAACGGAAACGTGGATGGTGCCTAATATTTTTGGTGATTCGCCAGGTTTATGACAGTGGATAGCGAGGACAGTCGAGCCTGTAGGAATGGTGTAGTTTTGGGCAGTTTCGTAGCCTGATGTTTTGTTGTTTTGTTTAACGCCGTCCACATAAACTGTCATGACTCCGTCACAGGTCAACATGGCTGCGGCTGCTTGAATTGTCGCTAAATATGGAATATTAAAGATACTGAAAAAGATTTTCTGTGTTGGTGTAATGTACTCAGGTGAATACGATGCTTGTGATGTTACTCTGAGTGTGTATCCACACCGGGCAGGCTTGAAAAATATGCCCGGCCACGGTGGGAATCGAACCTACGACCTTTGGAATACTAGCCCAATGCTCTGCCAAGTGAGCTACGCGGTCAGGTCGGTTCGAGTATGTGATATTTCGGAACTGAGTCTAGTTCCTTCGATATCAGTGTAATCTAATAATCATGATATTTGCTGTGTTGTTGTAATGTATACTCAGGTGAATAAGATGCTTCTGATGTTACTCTGAGTGTATATCCACACCGGGCAAGCTTGAAAAATATGCCTGGCCACGGTGGGAATCGAACCTACGACCTTTGGGATACTAGCCCAAATGCTCTGCCAACTGAGCTACGCGGTCAGGTCGGTTCGAGTGTGTGATATTTCGGAACAGAATCTAGTTTCTTCGATATCAATGTAATCTAGTAATCATGAGAACTAGTTTACATTGATATCGAAGGAACTAGATTCTGTTCCGAAATATCACATACTCGAACCGACCTGACCGCGTAGCTCAGATGGCAGAGCATTGGGTTAGTATTCCAAAGGTCCGTCGTAGGTTCGATTCCCACCGTGGCCAGGCATATTTTTCAAGCTTGCCCGGTGTGGATATACACTCAGAGTAACATCAGTAGTCACAAGCATGATAATGAAAAAGTTTATATTCAGTTTATACTTTATAAACCAGCCTGTTTATAAACTAGCTCTAAGCTCATTGTTAAAATGACACATTCGATATTAATTGATTTTCCTTTTGTTATGCACTGTTTTAATTAGGCGCAGACGTCGATGTCGGATAAAACTAGTCCTTTGATGATCAAATAACAATGAATAAATGTTTAAAATGTTTAAAAAGTCTGTCTGTGATTGTGTAATATTTACTTAAATGTATGACTTGTATGTCAGCATGACTTATGCCATTTATACATGCATGGAAAAACAATATACCAGATTACTTTATTTTGTATCTAAAATGATCATTTAACAGAATGAGTGGCAAAGGTCTTATTGTTCCATTTTGCAGGACGAGATTAAGGCAATTTTCAGTATGATATTTCAAGGTCCAAAATTCTTTAATGATGAAATCTACCACATGAAATCACGTTAACATCTTGCAGACCTGCCAAGTTTTGAAAAATTTTATGCGGGAAGGTAATTTCCACGAGGCGCCACCATAGCTGGCGCGCCCAGGGGGAAATTTTGAAATTTGAGTTCCTCGGAGTCGCCAGAAAATTGCCTTTCCGAGGTTTTTTCTTCCGCCTTTTTTGAAGCACAAACCAAATATATGTTCATGCTATAAAAATATGAAATGTTAGCGTCGCTCCTCCTTCCCAAACAGCAAAAAATAGCGCTCGTCAGGCTCAAGAGCCTCCCAGCTTTTTGTCTCTTTTTGATATGCGATTGAGACACACATTTTCAAGGCTTCTCAAGGCTTCTGGGTACTGGCGCTGGCAAAAAGAATGCATTGAACATTTGAACATTGTGCAAATGAAAAGAAATGGGAGTAATTGCCCCACAGGAAGAAACCTCCACAAGTTAAGTTTAAAAATGCGAGAAGAAAGTCACTTCATGCGTGATGCGCGTGAAAGCAAACAAAAATGCGGGAATTTCACGGTAATTGCGGGAAACTTGGAAGTTTTGATCTTCTGTGGGTATTATAAAATTATTTCTTCGGTCAGTATAGTTACAAGGGTGGAATATGTATTCTTCATGATCCGCATGACTCTATATTGATTCATAGTGAATGCTTCATGCCGGCAAAACAATAATCAAATGTGTGATTTTACTGATTTATTTAAATGTCACATGGTAAATTTAACAGAATTCAAATTTCAAAAAAACACAACATTTCTTGAAATTAAACTTAGCCTCGGTCAAATGAGGTTATAGAGTCGGCATTCACGTAGTTTTTCAAGCTCTAGGACCTGGGTCAACAAAATAAAGTTTTGATGAGTATTTTCAACTATGTTTTAACTTCAATAGAATACATGATAGTGTTGGGAAAGCATTAAGAATAGCTGATCAAGGTCGCGTGGCTGCCAACTCTCGTGCATTCTCATCCTCGCTTGATCTGAGTCTGAGCATTAATTAAGACAAGTTAAATTTCGCGTTCATCATGATAGAACGTTTAAGACATTCAAGATTCATACATGTAATAAAGTCATATTTGAACAATTTAAAGCATGTCTAAAGTGCAGCTGTCTAAATAGATGGACGTGTACACGTATTTGCCATTTGGGTCTTTCTTTTTGGAAGAAAATGATTTTAATAATATATAGGGAGACCAAGATTGGGCCCCTTTGCTTATACGATAACGGTGTGATTGGAATGTTCCATTGTCTTGTCACTGTTGAAATGCCACCCAGTTACTTAATAATGTTTTGACATTTTTACGGCGTTATAAGGCCATGAGCTTTTTATTAATTTATTAACTTTACAATCATAGAAAAGTATAACAATGATTGAAGGTATGGTCACTGACAGGACATGAGTCCCATGTGAAGACTAACCTGGTACAAAACAATCAGTAGACAATCATACATTAGCTGAATTCATATTAGAAGACGGATTTCCGTCTAAGACGGGAAACTCGTCTCAGACGAGAAGCCCGTCTTGATATAAATTCGATTAACGACGGGTTTTCCGTCTCAACTTTTCCGTCTAACTTTCCCGTCTGAACGACGGGAAAGTTGGACGAGTTTCTCGTCTTAGACGGAAATCCGTCTTAAATCCGTCTTAAATTTATATCAGACGAATAAATCAGGACGGGTTTCTGCTCGTAACGTTAAAAAGAGACTGGGATGGAGGGTCTCCTTTTTTTTCGGGTTTATCCGTCCAATGGTTTTCGTTTCATACTTATGCCAGACGGAAATCCGTCACACGAGTTTCCAGTCTTAGACGGAAATCCGTCTTCTAATATGAATTCAGCTATTAAAGTCAAGGACTAGAACACTATTCACATAATTATATAAAAATTAATAGGTTAGATTATGAGCAAAAGCTTAAGTTGAAAGGACGACATTTAGAACGACATTTAGAGGTTTTCCAAGTGCGCATTCTGTTAACATCGAAAGAAGAGTCTTAATTGAGAAGAGTAGTGAATATGGCGCTGGGGCTTAAAGTATGAAACAGACAACTGCACGAATGATCGGAGAGAGATAACACTGTCTGTCACTCAATTAATTTAAGATGCAATTTTTTTCAATGTCACGTATTTGCAATGAAAAGTGTTCAAAACCTAAAATCGTTTTGGCGTTCCTCTCAAAATTATTTTGTTTTGGCTTTATTCTCTAGTTTATAGAGTTAGCTACCTTTTTAAATGCATCTGCCGGTTGAGAAACATAAAATAATAGTTAAAAATTTATCAATTAAAAAACATTATCAATGCTGCTTTAAAATTGACGCTATATTTACAGCCATATAAGCAAAACTTACTGAACTTCAGACATCATTTTCTCTTTGGCGTATCATCTAAAATCTCTTCATTTTAGCAATATTTTACAGATAAAGCACTAAACACACTTTTTAAGTTTGTTTGCCGATTGAGAAATTTTGAATTTAGTCATAACCTCAAGTGGTATATTTATACACATTAGTTTCGAGTGCGTGCTATATAACATACAAAAAAATCTCCTCTTAAAGATTATTTTCTACTCTGTGCGAATATTCCATCCTCCACCTTTTCATTCCCTTACACAGTTTTTTGCGTGTTTTATTTTTGCTTTCTTTCTTTCCATTTACGAAGAGATATCAGGAACGTGCCAAATATATGCAAATATCGAAAAAGGGAATCAAATTTGACTTTTTAATTTTGGCAATGTTACACTCGATAATACAATTTTATGCTCTCCGTCAACTGACGAGGATTACGGCTGATGAGAGTTGGCAGATCACGAATTCGGTTATATAGCAGACATTTCAAGCTCTAGATGAACAAAATAAAGGATGAGTCAGTTTAAACAGAATACACGATAGTGTTGGGAGAGCATTAAGAACAGCTAATGAAGGTCGCGTACGTGACTGCCAAACTCTCATGCATTCGCATTTTCGTTTGATCCGCGACTTTATAGTTAACACGGTTCTGTATCATAAATGGCGTTGAAAGTTCCAGCCAAAAATTGCCTTGTGTAATGTGGCCTGCACTACTGCATGAGACTTTCGCCTATATTCTAAAAGCACACTCACACTCGAAGAGTGGAGGTTCAATCTGAACTTCTCTTGAGTGTCAATGCTGTTTTTGAATAGCTGGATGGTTAGTGCCGTACCTTACTATGTGACTACTCACCCTCCAGCTATTCAAAAACAGCATTGACACTCAAGAGAAGCTCAGATTGAACCTCCACTCATTGAGTGTGAGTATGAGTGAGCTTTTAGAATACGGGCGTTACGCTCACACACTCAAAGAGTGGAGATTCAATCTGAACTTCTCTTGATTATGTACCGTACTCCACCTATTCTAAAACAGCATTGTCCCCTCAAGGGAAGCTCAGATTGAACCTCCACTCTTTGAGCGAGCTGTTATAATGCAGGCGTTTGAGTATGGATAAACGTTTGAAATATAATTGCATGTCTCAGACTTAAGGCTATTTTGCACGAGACGGTTTGTGCCATTGTAAGTATTGCCAACAATAGGAAAGGCTTCTGTTTGATAAGGGGAAAACTTCGTCGAGAAGTTAGTTCGAATCGTCGAAACACGAGGTAATTTTCGCTGCAACTTGCTATAGAATTTCTGACATAGAACCATTTTATTTAAGAAGTAGACAAAAAACACGAAATTCTTGGGAAATGTCAAAGAACAGTAAATCTAAACATACCTCCATTCTCACATAAATGATTTCCTTGAACGCAAACAGCAAAGAATAGCACTGCACAATGCCGCCAAAACATTTTGCCCAACTGAACTTTACCCAGCTGAAACAGTGTCTTTATATTATAAATGGCGCCAATTCACTAATCATGTAATTTGAATAATGAAACTTAAGTTACAGCTCATTTCGACGGCTGCACGTCGTTGGCCGTTCAGTTATGACTAGACATTTATTTCTTTGTTGCTATTTTCATATTCAAAAAATGTTGACTTTTCTTATTAGGCGGAAATGCAAATTTTATTTGCACCAAGCAAAAATAACAGAAGATATTCACACCGATTGATCAGAGGCGATAATTTCGAACAAAGGTAAAATTCTCTTGCCGAATTTTGTTAATTGATCATTATTGGAATTTGCGCAAATTTTCAAAGTTAATGATGTTACAATTATTGCCTAATCAGACCAGGCAATTTTTGTTGTACCCTGTTTGAAAATTGAAATACGGTTTCTGATACAGCGATCATTGATAATTATTGGAATTTGTTCCAATTACTGTGTATCAAAGTTAATGATATGGCAATTACGCTTATAATTAGCCGATACAATTATTGCTACAACCTGAAAGGCAATTTTTGATTGAGCAATGTGGGGAAAAGTGTATTTTCATGATTTGAAATGACTGGAATTTAAAAATATAGTTCGTTTGATTTGAAATTTAATCGACTGAGATTCGATTATTTCTGATCATGAAAAATGCTGTTTCTGAGATGAATTAGTACCAAAATTCCACAGTTATTTTAATATTTCCAATGATCCAATCCTTTTATGAAAGCCTCAATAGTGTTGGATAGCACTATGAAGTCTAGACAGGGCCTTCTTTAAGAACTCGTCAGTGCAGGAGGGGGAGGGGGAGGGGGGGGGGAGACGCCTTAAAAGAAAAGGGTCCTAACTGACAAGTTCGCACTACTCCAGTTCAGCACCAAGGGGGATCCACCCCCCTAAAAAATTTCGTATTTGGCGGTCTCTGCATGGGGCTTCATTTCCTGCATGCATTTTCAGACACGAGTTTTTGATATATTTCATCCGCTAGACAAAGATTTGGTCATGGAAATATTTACTAAGATATTCTTCCATTGATATCTTGCAGATATTTTAGACATGAGACCTTCACTGTAAGGGCAATATGGTTTACTGGTAAAGCCAACATGGAGGATGAGGGGGGATGCCCCTCCCCAGTTTATATGAGAAAAGAGGTTCTGGTATGTACTACAACCGCGACCGCACGATAGTTCTACTAAATGCAAAGAAACTTTAGTTTTCAATTTCTACACGAGTGAAATGATCTGTCGTGCACAACAGTTGAGAAACATGCCGCGCTAAGCTGAATTGATACAGCTGACATTTTGAATGTTTGCGAACCTGTCGCAAGGTCCCGCTCTCATTTACCGAGTGTCTGTCAAGGTTAAGCCCGGAGTTCTAGTGAGTTCTGGCTTACTGCATGAACAGGCATACAGACTGGTTATAATATAGCACACATAATCTCATTGCGAAAAATGGAAGTGTTGACTGATTTGTCATGATTTTAACATCAATATTTTCAGTGGTAAAACGTTCAATATTCCTATCTTCAATATGCCTGAAGAATATATTTTTCTTGAAATATTCATAGTCTTATAAGACTACCAGTTATATTTATATTCTTACCAGAAGTGTTTAATATATTCAATCTAGTTTAATGAATGTTTAATGTGCAGTAGGGCCTATTCAATATCCCGCTTCCATCGCCAAGCACAGAGTTTCTATACTACAGAGTGTATCAAAAAAGTAGGACAATTTTGAAATTGCTTTCAATTCCACAATTCTGTTCATGAAATTTATTTTTTGATATCTGTGGATTGCTTGAGTTCTTAAATTATGGAAAATATGAAAAATTTTGAAAATAGTAAATTTGGCTATCCAGGGGGGTGGTCAACTTTTGCTCTCCTAAAAGTGGCTTGCGCACGGAAATAACAAACGGTATTCTTTATTTGAGTTCATGTATCAAACGTTCGCTATTTGTTGCATTTATGATAAAAGTTCGGCAGGATTTTATCGAGTACAAATCCTCCGAAAGGCCTATGAAAACGTTACATTTTTCTCCGTTGGTGCTGTTATTGCTTCATTATGAATTCACAAAGTTGCATTTGCATTTTGATTTTAAATGAGTCATGTTAATTATGTGTCTTAATTCTTTAAGTAAATAAAACTTTGAAGTGAAACTTTGGCGAACCAAGTTTATGTTGTTGCTACGGAGGAACTCTGATACCATAAAAGCTTTCTGCTGCGGGGTAAATTGTGGCATCGTCATTTCAAAGTGTACGGGGTATTATACGAGAAAATGCGTTTCAGCACAAATAACTCGAAAGCACAAATTCCATGGAAATTCCATGCAACTCTCATGGGAGTAAAAATGAATTCATAATGAAGCAAAAACAGCACCAACGGAGAAAAATGTAGCGTTTTCATTGGCTTTTCGGAGGATTTGTACTCGGCAAAATCCTGCCAAAATTTTATGATAAATGCAACAAATAGCAACCTTTTCATACATGAACTCAAATAAAGAATACCGTTTGTTATTTCCGTGCGCAAGCCACTTTTAGGGGAGCAAAAGTTGACCACTCCCCTGGATAGCAAAATTTACTGTTTCCAAATTTTTTTATATTTTCCATAATTTAAGAACTCAAGCAATCCATACATATCAAAAGTTACATTTCATGAACAGAATTGTGGAAATGAGAGCAATTTCAAAATTGTCTTACTTTTTTTGATACACCCTGTATAATCCCTTCAATGCCCAGCTACACGCGTAAAATGTCACAGCATGTCAGCAATATGTGTTCGCACTGCTTGTTCCCAGTTGTTGTCGACACATCGCTAGAAATCGCGGACATTTGGAATGCAGCATGCATTCTCGCCCCAGTCCCCATGTTCACTCTTATATTCAAAGTTTATCAGGAATGTAGATGGTTATCCAATTTTTACATAAAATATCTTTTAAGAATCATACAAAATTAAAATTGTGCACAGGGGCGTGGCGACTGGGGGGTCTTGGGGGGGGGGCGCCCCCAATAATTATGAACTTTGAAAAGTTGGTCAAAATTTTTGAAAAGTTTGTCAAAGGAATTATTTAAATATTAAACGAAATCTTATATTATTTACAAAAATTTTAGAAAATCAAAAAAATGTTTAGAATTTTAGAAAAAGTTCTTTGATAAACGGAGAAAATTTGTGATATCCGAAAAATTTTAATGTCGCGAAAAATGCGATAGGTCCGGAAAAATTTTTTTACCCCTAAAATGGTACACTGACCGAAAATTTTTTGGCGACGTGGGGGGGGGGGTAGGGGGAGGTCGCCAAAAAAAAATTTCGAGAAAAATTTTTTTAAACACGAAAACGTTGGTCATTTTCATTGAAAAAGTTGGTCATTATGGTATGACGCCCCCAATCTGGAATCGTTCGCCACGCCCCTGAATTTGTGCATTGTGGAAACAAAATTCCGTGAGCTAATCAAGGAAATAAGAAAGAAAACTAAAACCAATGATAAAATATGATTATTTATGATACTTAAAACTGGGCAACAACGCAATTAAATTTACGGGCAGGATTTGTAACTAATTTATCAAAACGACAATAATCCACATTTTACAAAGTCAAACTACGGCTTAATGATCGTGATGAACTTAAAATGTGCGGTAAAATTTAAATAATATCATGTTTGCGTGAATTTCTATTGTTCTATTGTGCTGTATTAGTAACTAATTCACTCGCCTACTCAAATGTACAGGTCGTATTAGAACTAATACGACCTCAGTTGACGTCACTACGGGTCGTATTAGTATTACCACATCACCTGCAAAGTTTGAGCAAAATTATCACAAAATTATGACATACTATAACGCTCCGCCGACATCATTGACAGTGTCTGAACACTGATTTGGGTGAAATTCACGCAAAAATAATATTACAAAGTAATATCATGAAATGAGGAGTATGACCCTCGTCGAGCGGGTGGTTTAATGACTAATACTCCTCATTTCATGATATTACTTATAATAATATGCAGATACTAGTATCCGAAACAATTGTTCGCATACCTTAATCTGTAGTGTCGATGATTATTTGCTTCATTCCAAGTTTGCATAAAATCGAAGGTTCGTTTATTAGACACAATCATCAGGTTTTAATGCTGTTACGTAAGAAATGTTTGATAATTTACAAAATGAAATATTACGAGTACATGCTTACAAAGTGCAAAAATAGAAAGGATTTTGAGAAAATGTTTATGAAGGAAGTGTTCACTGAAATCATGGCCAAGTGGTTTTCCACGTGTCAAACATTTGCATTCGCAATCTGAAATAAAAATGAATATTTATATCAACTCTGAAACTATATAGGGTTCGCACTGCTTGTTCCCAGTTGTTGGAACAAGTTTGTAACAAGCTGTTAACAACTTATAACAAGCTTGATGGCGTTATCAGACTTGTTACAAGGCAACCTCATAACCAGGGCTAGACGCGAGTTGAAGGCAGCCATACAATCTCGTTCCCCGAGCCTGCGATCCTCGGGAAGGAATCGAAGGCTCTGGGATAATCCGTTACCCGAAGCCAAGAATCATGGCTAAGATTGAACTACGCATTCCATATCAATGGCCAATCAGATTCCTCCCTGAAACGGATTATCCCAGAGCCTTCGGTTCCTTCCCGAGGATCGCAGGCTCGGGGAACGAGATTGGCAGCCATATTAAAAAATCGGGCGGGAACGCCGGGCAGGCCCTGGGTACGAGGTTGGTTGCAAGGTTGTTCCAACAAGTCTGATACAGTCATGATATAACAAGAATGTTACAATGTTATGATGACACGGGGTTGTAACAATATTGTTATATCATGAACTGTATAGTACTTGTTGGAACAACCGTGCACTAAGTCTGATAATAGACAGATTTAGATTGAGGACGCCATTTTGACGCCATTTTCACGTCGTCCTTGTCGTCCGCGTCCTCGATCTAAACCTGTCTAATATCAACAAGGTCGATTACAACTGTTAACAAGTTGTGTTCCATACTTGTTGACAACTTGGGACAAGCAGTGCGAACACAACTTGTTGATGGCATGTTGGCGCACTTGCTACCGAAGTTGTGAGATTAATTTTTGCGTGTGTATAGCGGGTCACTTTCCTCTCTATATAGTTCACTATATATAATGTATAATTCACAGGGTTCACGCAAAACTTGAAAGTCCTTGAATGTCCTTGAATTTGAAAACAAAATTCAAAGCCTTGAATATCCTGGAATTTGTAAAGAAGTACGTGAAAGTCCTTAAATTGTTCTTGCTTTAGTTTTTGGATATTTTCTGAAATTGTTTGACATTCAAAAACGAACATTTTGTTGAATTCATTTTGCATGTTCATCATAGCTCATGACAAAGCTGTTTGAAATCATTAAAGTTGCGTTTTGAACAATTCAACGTCAGATTTTACTGATTTCTAACCCCTTTTCTGCAGTATTTAGTCCTTGAATTTGCCGATACATGGCCTTGAATAGTTGAATGTCCTTGGAAAATCCTTGAATTTGACTCTTCCTCACATGTATATACGAATCTTGAAATCAGATCTATCAACTTACCCACATAAGGCAGGTTTTTTCGAAGGTTGCACAAATGATTTTCGTAGTAATTTCGCGATGCAATTCCTCAGTCGTAGATAACAGTGATTCTTGTAGGCTACTTTATTTGTACCACAGATCGGTGTGTCGAATAACCCTTCTTTGTTTTTAGGACAGGGAACACAACCTTTTGGAGCTGAAGAAGAATGGATGAGAATTTTAGAAAAGAAAGAAGATTGTATAATTTTATATTTTTCTTTCGCTGGCTTCGAAATCTTCGTCACCAGCTACGGGACGTTTTACCTCGAGGTAAGCCATAGCCTATCGAAGGGGAGATGGCTGTGAAACTCATTAGAATAACAATATAACTCAACGTTTATTCATAAATCTGGTCGTTTCACCGTCACGTGTGTATTGTATTTTTACCAAATCGACCAATAGCAATTTCCAGTTCCCCTATTAGGTGACTTTCCTGAAACATTGCTATTGGTTAGTTGGGCAAGAATACAATACACACGTGACGGTGAAGGACCAGATTTATGAATAAACGTTGCCCAACATAGATAATGAGTTATATTGTTATTCTATTGAGTTTCACAGCCATCTTCCCTTCGATAGGCTATGGGTAAGCGAAACGATACTATATTTGATACATCTTTCATCATATCGATGATATTTGGTTTCGTAAACCAAAACACACTAATATTTTTATCTTTATACATGCATACGTGAAAACGCACAAGTTGTAACAAACCTACAGCAGACTACTGTAGCAATCCTATCCCAACAACTCGTCAGCAAGATGTGTTCGCACTGCTTGTTCCCAGCTCGTTGACAATTTGCTACAAGGTTGTTGAACTCAACAGACTTGTTGCAAGTTGTTCCAACAACTTGTTATGGACCGTCCTTGGGCCGGTTGTATATAAGAGCGATTAAAGTGCCTATGACACGAAATTTCACCCCAAATGTTTATGATTGCATTGTAAAGATCACTTAAAATGACTTAATAATTTCTTTTATAGAATTTTGGTAACTTGCTTGCTTTGCAAGATATTCAACTTTGTTTCATATGCAAATATCATCGGTTATGTGACATCTCATCGCATAATGACATTTTGAAAACGCAATATTTTACCTTGATAAAATATTTTTACAAACAAATACAGAGGGTTAATTGCCAGTTATGAAATTAATACATATACAAGGGCAATTTTTAAGTTTTTTAGATACGTATTCGTCAAGAAAACTATACCTTTCTGAAAACTCATTATGCGATGTGATGTCACACCGGTGATATTTGCATATGGAACAAAGTTGAATATCTTGAAAAGGGAGCAAGTTATCAAAATTCTATAAAAGATATTATTAAGTCATTTTAAGTGATCTGAACAATGCATGCAACCACAAACCTTTGGGGTGAAATTTCGTGTCATAGACACTTTAAAGTTAACTACAGTCAGTGGAAACGTCATCCAATAAGAAGCGCGTATTTGAGAGTTAATACTACTTAACTACAAAATAGTGACTAAAAAGTGATTAAGAGTTTTATAGCTACAACCGGGCCCCTGCAATTCAACAATTTGTCAACAAGTTGTGAGTGACAACATTGTAGTAACTTGATAAAATGACAACATTGTTACAACTTGTTGACAAGCTTGCTACAAGCCTGTTGCATGACAAGTTGTGAGATTTTTACGTGTCAGATAAAAAATTGAAACGCAAACAGAACGGCATGGCCGTGTTTTAAGCATTTCAAATATGCATAGTCGGCAGGCCATGCACAGAGACCGCATCTATTAGACACGGATTGATCGGCTGTCTGGATAAAGTTGGCGGCAAAAAAAGATAGTTTGTCAAAGAGCCGTCGTCGCAGTCCGCTTTAATACGCGGTGTGTGTCTAATCGCCGTTGGCCCGTCGGATCATTGATAATATATAGTCGGTGTCTTCTTTGCGAAATGAAATCCTTGGCGCAAGGCTTGCGATATCTCAACCGCAAACCCGTCTTTACAAATCAGTGCGTTGACCACATAAGTCCACAATGACCGTATTAATTAAATGATTACCACAACGAATTAAAAAGCAGGCTTTAAAATAAAGCGCTCGACAATTCGGTGAATATATATAGTTGTAACATCCATATACAAACCTTTCTCGCCCCAAAACGTGTCATGTTCAAATCCATTTACAAGTACCCCACAACATATCGCAGCCAAAAACGCTTTATAAACGACGCATATTTTGTTCATTTCTCCCCGCGAAGTGAACTAGCTTTTTGTAATAATAAAATGCACGGCATATATTTTGAAGCAAAATTATATATTACAGACGGCGCTGTTTATATTTCGAAACAAAGGATAAAGTTCAACAATAACATGGATGTTATAAATAATTGATGTTCGCACCAGTTGCAAAATGAGATTGTTGCAAAATGCTGGTAGTTTTAGAACCAGCTATAGACAGAAGTCTGCTCTATTGAGGTTTTCAGTTCAACATTTAAACCGCTCGGAAATCACTTTAGTTTGGGCTTCATGTTGGGGTTAGGGTTTGAGTTGAGTTTTATAGGGTAAGGTTTAGGGTAAAATTTACAAAATAAGCTTTCTAACAACACTCAAAGCCTTAATATATTTATTCAGGTAAAACTTCCTACTTTATTTTTAGGTTTTAAAAAGAAATTTTTCTGATAATAGCGGCATATGCTCGCGAGGAATAAACACGCAGGTCTTGACACATGCGCGTCTGGGACGCAGTTCTTCTATAGCGTTCCAGTTACATTAATTTCACTGAGACCCATTGCCCTAGGGCACTGATCTTTGTTAGAGCGTGGTTTTCAAGATGGCGGCAATTTTTCAGGATCATTAAAACGCAAAAGAATCAGTTTTCAAGAATAAATATTCATGTTCACTGATTGATCGCGCTCTTTGCATGCGTGAAAAGACTGGGACTGCATGGCCTTCACATTTGGCTTCAAATTTCCTGTTGGATGTAGCGTTCCAGTTCTGTATATCAGTGGTTGCTAAGAATTTGTTCTACAGGGTGTATAAAAAAAAAGCAACCTCGGAATAGTTCCTATATAAGAGATCACTTTGCAGTTCTTAAGCATAAAAGATTTTAGGCCCCTGGGAATTGAAATCGAATTGCTAATAGATCATATTACTGTTGTTGTGCATTAAATAAATGCATAAATTTTGCTTTATGCACTTGCGTGTGCAGTAATTTTGACTGTTGTGCTATTTTAAATTCCCAGGCACCTAAAATCTTTTGTCTTTAAAACAATGTCGATTTCTTGCGAAAAGGAGACCTTTAGAAATCAAGCATATTGTTAAAATTTGAATGCCTTTTCAATTGCACATATGCTGAACTGTGGTGCGTGAAATATTGATGAGTGCATATATTAGAAAAAGGAGACCTTTAGAAATCAACCATTGTTATAATTTGAATCCTGGAGCACTTTGCTAAGCCCACGAGTGCGTAACATGCGATCTACGTACAGTATGCATGGCAGATTGTTCTCAGGAGCAGACAATCTTTTGTTTAAACGTCTATAAGCCCACGAGTGCGTAACATGCGATCTACGTACAGTATCATGGCAGATTGTTCCCAGGAGCAGACAATCTTTTGTTTAAACGTTATTTCAATTTCTAAAGGTCTCCTTTTTCTAATATATGCACCCCATCAATATTTCACGCACTACGGTTCAGCATATGTGCAATTGAAAAAGCATTCAAATTTTAACAATATGCTTGATTTCTAAAGGTCTCTTTTTTTTTATACACCCTGTATATACAGGGTGTCTCAAAAAAACCCAAAATCATTGAAATAACGTATTGTTCGAATTTCAATGCCGTAACACAAAGGATTTTGACAGGGTGATTAATTTGTTTTAAAAAATTAAAATATCTTTGTAAAGTGAACGTTTGTTTGCTCATGGGAATTTAACAATGCTTCGTAAATTGTAATATGCGTAATATGATTCGTGGGTTTAGTACTTTATGCCTGACATAACAAGTTTACGCTGAGTATTACCATTCATTATAGCAGTTATGTCAATCTTTTATGCACTCGTGGGATTAACTTAGTGCTAGGGCATTGAATATCGAACAATACGTCAATTTCAATGATTTGGGTTTTTTTTGAGACACCTGTACAGGGTGTATAAAAAAAAACGCAACCTCGGAATTTCCCAAGAAATCGACATTGTTTTAAAGACAAAAGATTTTAGGCGCCTGGGTATTTAAAATAGCACAACTGTCAAAATTACTGCACACGCGAGTGCATTGTTAACTTTTGATGATATAATTCATATCTTTCGTATAAACCTTCGATTGTTCTACTTATATTTCCCTTTATTACGTCAACTAACCATAAAAACAATGAGTTTTATATCCCTTAATTTCTATAAAATACAATTCACAGCGCCATAACTCTAACAACAACAAGAGAGTTCACATGTTCTCAATTAACCAATCACGTTAAACTATATCTATAATTATGTTAAATTATTACTGTTTCCACTTAACGTTAAAAATTTCAATTTTCCTACTCAAATTCGTACACTCCCCCCATTGGCCAGTGTGTTCTATTCGTCCTCGAAATACTGGCCAATCCGGTCGTTAGCAATAACTGCCGCAGCCCTCTTGGGCGTTGTCCGTTCAAACGTTTCAATCTTACCTTCGTCTCCGCGCGCTGGCTTTACCTTGTCTTCTTCCGTGTTTGCGCACCGTATCTCCAATGGATAGAGTTTTTGTAAAGGTCTGTCGATTATATTTCTTTTACCGTTTTTCACGCGAAGAACTCGAGCACCTCTAACGTTACCGTCTCTGCCCGTCACGAGTCTCTCGACCTTGCCCATCGACCACAATCCTCGTTGCAACTGCGACTCATCCCGAATCGAAACAATATCCCCGACTTGAACAGGTGACGTGCTAGTATTACCCTTTTTCGGACGATGAAACTCACGAATGTCAACAAGGTACTCGCGCTTCCACCGTTGCCAAAAATGTTGAATTTTCTTCGCGACGTACGTTGCACGTCTTTGAACTGCTTCCTTACCGCTTTCACCGTCAAAGTTTTCTTCTCGAACTACACCGTCAGGTAAATTCAACAATCTACGCCCGATAATAAGGTGTGCGGGTGTGATCGCTTCTTCGATGTCATCGCTGTACGAGTATGTCAAGGGACGTGAATTCAAAACAGCCTCGATTTCTGCGAGAATGGTAGATAGTTCATCAAACGATAACTGCGATTTTCCGAGCACTTTCTTTAAGCACGTTTTAGCTCCCTTGACCATGCGCTCAAAAAATCCACCCCACCAGGGGGATTTTGCAAGATTGAATCTCCATTCAATACCTTTGTTGACCAGAAAGTTCTTCA